AATATTGGGACCTGAATTACTATCATACTACTTAGATTAGTAAAACTCTTAAAACCACAGGAAGGAATGAGTATGTAGCTTAGAATTAGAAATCGCTGGAGAGACACGTATTGAATGCAGCTCATTTGTGGCAACAAGCAGGACTGAATCTGCTTTTACCTCTCTGCTCAGTGTGCCTTGAGGCAGAAGCAGTAGGAGGAAGCATCTGTCACCTTAAAACAAACCCAAGCTAGCACCTGGGGCCCCCATTTCTCCCCATTCCTGCCCCGGCTTCCACTTGGACTTCTGCCAACTCCAATGGGCACCGGCAGGATAACTTCCTTACAGGTGTCTTGCTTCTCAGACTTTTACTGGCTTTCAAATCCCATTAGATTGTGAGAGCTGGGTGTCCCTTTCCCCCCTTCTGTCAAAGCAACCACCAGCATTAATGAGGTGATAAGAAATACAGACTACAGATAGGTCAACATGTCTGTCCTCCTGGCAAGCACATTCATCTAGCAACTGAAAGGAGTGATTTTGAGTGGTGGCCATGACGGACATGATGGCTGGCCGGGGTGGGGGGGAGGAGGGGGACGACCTTCTGTGGTGTCAGGTGACGGAGAGTGACAGAGGGTGTCACCTCTGCCAGTGGGAGCCCCGACAGAGCCTGCAGCCACTCACAAGGTTGAACATATAAGTGCCCCCACCCCCAATTCCTACAGCACTCTTCCACCCCGATCAGCTGTAACGTGTGGGTGTAAGCAAGGAAGCTTATGTCCACAATATGAAATTAGATGTTGGTCTTAGTCCATTCAAGCTGGTGTAACAAAATGCCACATCTGGGTAGCTTAGAAACAACAGAAATTGACTGCCCACACTGCTGGAGGCTGAAAGTCCAAGTTCATCAGTGTGCCAGCCGGTCCGGTGAAAGCCCTCTTCTGGGGTTACAGATTTTTCAATTTTTTGTTGTGTCCTCGCATGGTGCAAGGGCTAAGCTAGCTCTCTGGGGCCTCTTTTATGAGCTCTGCCCTCATGACCTGATCCCCTCCCAGAGACCTCACCTCCTGAAACCATTACCTTGGGCATTAGGTTTTCAACATGTGAACTTGAGGGGAACACAAACATTCAGCCCCTAACAACAGATGGGAAGAAAAATAATTCTGCAAAACTACTGAAGGTCTAGTTCCTATACATGCTCTTGCAGAATAGAAGGTAACCCGAATGGGCGAGCTATGCCTGCTTGTTCATGGATGGCACCCACTTGCCACGCTGAGCGTGAAGCATTGACCAACCATGACACCCTGTTCAACCTTCCAATCTGTCCTCATTTCTGGGTTCTCCCTGCCCTTGGATAAATGTGCGTCCAGCCTGGGAAGCTGGCTTATCTGTACCAAGATCCTGCTTCCTTTCCGTGTCTCCCCAAACGTAATGGTGCAAAAAGAGAATGCTGTCATGACAAGAAGCTGGTGCAAAATCTAATAAAGAATAGTATGGGCTCAAAGAGGCATCCATTTCTTCAGGACATGAACATTATACAAAGAGACCAAACATGAGTCCCGGGCTTCTATAGATCCCTCAGGTTGCACTTTGGATATCCATAGATTTGGCCTCGGGATGTACCTCTGGAGTGACAAAATGGCCATTTTTCTTTTTCAACTGTGCTTGTGGTTTAAGTTTCCACATTGTCTCTAAAGTTACGCTCTGAATACACCAAAAGGAGAAAAGGTTCTTGAGGACACGGGTGCATTGTTACTTGTTTTTATTGTAGGCGGCTGAGCATCAGTAGGCACAGTTAGAGGGTGGGTTGATTTGGCAGTCTCTTATTGTTCCTGGATGCTCAGACCCCCAGGGGTAGCATTCCCATGTAAGCTATCGCAGTCAGCTTCTGATAAATGAGTCTCGGCTAGCTGTGCAGTGCGCACAGCGTCTGAAAGAAACAAAGCCCTCCTCTGACCCGGCCTAGGTACAGTTGCAGGAATCATTGTCCAAGATGTCGAGGGGCAACACCAGAACCGACGGGCCCCTTTCAGCCACCCTCAACTCCCGTTTCAGCAAAGGCTAGCCTGCACTTGCTACTGTTCATGCCAATGAGCTTTAGTAATTAAGTAGAGCCCGTGGAGCCCAGCACATGTAACTGATGTCAATAATAGTCAATCCAATGTCATATTTTAGAAGTCAAGTCCAGAAGGTAACAGAATTTATTAGTATATCGGCCATATTATGCTTTGCTGTAACACTAAAGAGAGATGGTTCTATGACTTCTAAAAATTTCAATTAGGACTTTTTTTTAGGGTGGCAAATACTGTGAAGCTTTATGGAAAAGAATTCGCAATGCACTCTGTGTGTTTTATTATTCATTATGTGGTGAACGTGGTGAAGTCGATTTTGTTCAAGATCTAGATGAAGACATGGAGCTCATTCAGAGGACCTCTGACTTAAAATGGATAAACCAGTTCATACACAAATGCATCATGCATAAGATTTCAATAACTGAAAAATGGCTGAAATATAAAAATCTCTCTGTTTCCATTTCTCCTTTTGGAGGCTAATGGATAGAGAGCCTTTGGCTTCCAGAACTTGGAAAATGACCCGCAGGAAGGGGAAGAATTGTAAGCATAAGTATGTTGTACAAGGATATGTAAAGGAAGGACAAAATAGAGGAATGAAGTTTTCTCAGCTTGCAAGCCACACTAGTAGAAGCAGTAGAAGAACGATGATATAGCCATCAGGCAGTGCTGCCCCCAGCCTATCGGGTCCCTGTCCCAGATGTCCTGATTCCCCTTGAGATCCACTCTTCATCCCTCCACCTGGGTCTCTGCCCTGAAGGAGGATCTCTACAAACTGCATCACCTGGGTCCCCTTGCCCACTGGCCTCCAGTTGGCTTCAGCTAATGGGAGGCAGCACGTGGAGGTCAGAAGGAGGGACGAGAGAAGTCAGGGTATCATTCCCTCGGCTCTCTCCCTGACGGGCCTTGGTTTAACAGTTGCTGTGTCATTCGGTTGCTCTCTGCGATTTCAGTGCTTGTGCATACTGGTGACAGTTCCTTCCCCTCTGGCCCTCCTGCTATTGCCAGTCTTGGGGTTCCTTGCCACCCAGCGCTGGTTTCCCTGTTCACACCTTCATAAGTTGTCTCTCCTTCAAACTCTATTACCTCTTTGAGTGTGCCATCTGTTTCTTACCAGGACACAGACAAATATAGAACCTTTGTAAGAATTAGAAAAAGGCACCTGATGGGTACATGAGGGTTCATTATATGGTTGTCTCTGCTTTGGTATGCATTGAAATTTTCGAAAATAAAACAATTCCCAAGAAGAACAAAAAATAAAAATGTGTCCCTTCGGTGAACGGTGCCCTGCAGGTGCATTGCTCTGTGGGCACAGAATTCAGGCTGGTTTCCAGCCAGACTCCCTCCCTCAGCGGGTGACTTTGTGCTGTGCACAAAATGCCCAGATGAATGTGGCAGCCCTCCAAAAGGATGGGTAGATCCCTAAAAGCTGGAAAATATCTTAAAGAGAAAGCAAAGGTTGACCTGGGTCTTTAAGGATATTTGGGACTTAAGTTGGAAAGTGCATTGCATGCAAGGAATGCCTGCAGGACAGGTGAGTATAAGCTGTATACAGGCTGTAGATTCTGTTAGGCAAGGAGTGCACCTTGAAGGGATTGTTGCAGCATAAGAAAGTAGAGACAGGATGGAAATGGGCCTTGACAGCTGAGCTATAAAATGTGAATTGTCATGTGTGATCAACCAGGCAGTATGGAGCACCATTTGGACACATGGACTCTAAAACTAGACCTACTGGGCTTAGATCATGGTTTTGCCATCCATTAACTTTGCACAGCTACTCATCCTCACTCAGCCTCAGTTTTCTCTTTTACCAAATGGAGATAAAATAGCATGCACCTCTTAGATGTGCAAGGGGGCTGAATTTTAAAATACATATGAGGTGCTTAGCACAGTGCCTGACAGTAAGTACTTGGTAGACATCAACTACTATCACCAAAAGTCTTTCAACAGAAGAGTAATTTGATGAAAACAATAGCTCGTGAAGATTGGTCAGATCATGTGTGCAGGATGCACGAGAAAGGAAGAGGCAGGGAGGGAAGTTGGTGTGAGGCTCTTGTACCATCTGCACTCTGGGAGAGCCAGGGGAAATGAGATAGAAGAAGCAGGTGCAGGGAGCTCTGGGAGAAAAAGAGAAGGAGGGCTGTAAATGGGTGGGTCGTGAGCATGAGGAGTCAGAGGGGGCTCCAGACACTTTTCTGAGGTCTGTAGTCTCCACTGGTGTAAATGTACACAGGCAGCTTGGGCAGTTGGCTTTGAAGGACTGACAGTTTTAAAATTTTTGTACAAGCTAAAGGAATATGAACCTAAATTTGCCAGTAAAAGAATTAAAGAACCATTAGATTTTACCCTTCTGCTTTGCCCAATATCGAATATTAGATCCAAGATGCTGTTACCAAACAAAAACCCCAATGGACACCTCAAACATTCCAGTGCTAACTGGTCACACCTCCAATTGCCAAAGGTGGTTTTTTATATCCAGAAGTTCTTCTGATTAAAGTCTGAGGTAAGGTGTCCTCGGTTGAGAGAGAGCATCCTCGTACAAGAGAATTCTCTAAGAGCATATGTAATTTACAAGTTCAGTTCTTAGCAAAAATAACCAGATGGTGGAGGAAGCTAGTGAGCCCTTGACTTTAGTATCTACCATTTGGAATAGAGGAGGAAGTCGTTAATTGTAAGAAACAATTTCTGTAAGTCCCCAGTTGAACATTGATTCGTGGGCAAGCCTCCCTACAAATTCAGTACCATTTTAAGAACCACCCTGAAACCATTTTTTAGCCATTGCTCCCTCTGAGAAAAGTTATCCCTTGTTTTCACTTTCTGGTCTTTCTTCTCAGGAGTCGAGCTCAGTTGTTGCAGATGTCCTGGCCCACTGTCAGAGACAGCACAGCACAGTCTGGTACCCAGGCCCCTCCTGCCTCACGTTAATCTGTTCTTTCCCTGTCGGCCTCACAGATACTTGCCCGAAATCATGAACGATGGGCTGACCAACCAGATTAACAACCCGGAGGTCGACGTGGACATCACACGGCCCGACACTTTCATCAGGCAGCAGATCATGGCTCTCCGTGTGATGACCAACAAACTAAAGAATGCATACAATGGCAATGATGTCAACTTCCAGGACACGAGTAAGGAAGTCTTTATCGGTACCAGTAACCTCCACAGTGAGAAACAGGTTGTAGATGATACCCCACTTTTTCTTCAAGAGCAATGTTCACATTTAATCTTGTGTCCTGCTTGCCTGGTCTGCAGAGCTCTTTACAGTCCTTTGGACTGAAAGCTCTGATCCACAAAGCTTAGGATTCCACTAAAATCATAACTGGTCTTAAGGAATAGTTTCAGTGGATTACATTCAATGCTTCCCAAGCTAACATTGGGTCTCATCTGCCAGGTGATCCATTCATGATCAAGCAACAAAGTAATGTTTTCATCTTCTCCTTCCCCCATCATCATTTACATCTCTGCCCCAAACTCTTGTCCCCTTCTCCAACCACCAAAAGAAGAATGTTCTGAAGCTTCCTCAGATAAGGCTAGGTTGAAATCCCAGTTTTATCACTTACCAACTTAAGCAAATTATTTCTTGAGTCTCAGATTTCTCTTCTATAGAATGGGGAACGTTCCAGCCTGTGAGGTCGGGTCTTTGGGAAGTTCATTTGCGGCCATCTGTGAAGGAGCTAAGATAATATCTCATGTGCCCTGGATTCAACTGCATTAGCTCTCCCTCTATCCAGTCCCTCACGTGTATGAACCATAGACATTGGTCTCTGAAATATTGACAGAAATAATGAAATGCTGGTGCAATAGGACCCATGACTAGTTTATTAGCCATCCCAAAATATCAGAAGTGATTGGAAAGTCTATGAAGTGAGCGTTAAATTAAATTTGGGGTTTGTGTAAGTGGTTTTAAGATGTGTAACTATACAAATTTGGGGGGGTTATTTTATTGCTTTGGGATTTTTTTAAAAGATATGTATCCTTAAACAGAGTTCTTGGGAAAAGATTTCTTGAACATAAGCTGTGCAGTCACCAGTGATTCTATAATTTGATCACTGAAGCAAAAGATGATGTTTGTGTGCTTGAATTAATGAGATAGAAAGAAACAAGTTACAGATGGAGGACATTAAGTCATCCAAGTCTTAGCCAGCATCCTACTGAGTTGTCCCCTGCAGAAAATTTTTAGTGCTTTATTCCATTTCAAGCAACTCAAAAATTAATTTTCTAAATGCAGGATAATTGCCAACCCACTAGACTTTATTGCTGTAAGATTTCTGAGAGTCCTCCTATTATTTCTCCTCCTCTTCACTAAACTTCTTCTTTACCTCTTCAGAAGAGAACCTTCCACGAGGTGTTAGCCTTTGATGCTTCTCCCCTGCTCGTTCCTTAGCTTCGCTCCTCTGAATGCATCGTCATCCTCTCTGTCTCACGAAATGCTTTATTATCTGGAGAATGACTATAGGAATAAGTAATTCAAGATAATGTAAGAATTAGTTGAGGTTGGCCTTGTTTCTCTTTCCACTTTGACCTAAAGAGGTTATGTACATGTCAGTCTGCAAAGCTTAGGGAACGTCCTTGCAGAGAGATCGCGCTCCACTTCCCCTCACAAGAAAATAAAAATTAACAACAGTTAAGAGCATCACTTAGCTCTAACCCAAGCCCCATATTTGGTCCTCCGTTTTAGGATAGTGTCTGTCCTATAAACCATTATCACATCTTACAACAATCATCACCCTTCCTGCCTTTGACATTTTGAAAAATCACCCCTTAAACTCCTGCATTTCTGACTCCTTTTCAGAAAGAGATGGGGCCATTATTTTTCTCAGCTGGATCTCCTGTCATTATTTGCTTACCACAGTTTTAATATTCTAAATCACTTTAATAATATCTTTGTAAAGGTTATAGTACTTCTTGTTCATAATACCAGTGTTAAGAACAATTCCCTTAGCAGTTCTGGTACCTCTGAATTTAATTAATGGGCATTTTCCCCCTTGTAAAGGCCACTAAAGATAAATCCGAGAAAATGTTAAGACCCTGGTATAGTGTATTCAAGTGATCTTACCTGATATTTGGATGTCCCATTGAAGAAGAAGAAGAAGAATCATGCTGAGTTGTGCCTTGCTTATTCGGGGGGACCATAGAAGAGCCCCTGTGTCACTTGGCGGCACTTACATGGTATCTAGTGCCCAAGATGGTGCTCGTGTGCCAGGGGCAGCTCAACAAGCTCATCCTTGTTTCAAGCCAACAGGGAGCAATTTATTGAGTGAATCTTTGAGCAAGTGGGGCAAACAGGAAATGTCATTACCAGGTTTACAGTTTCCTCTGTTCTCCCAGGCACATCATCTCACCTATTCCCCCTAACGATCCTGTGAAACAGGAGTATTCTCCCTTTTACTGCTGAGCAAGCGAGCCCAGTGAGGCTCACCGGCTTGCCCTCGTTCACTTAGAGAAAAAAACGGCAGGTTAAAATCTAGGTCCTCTTTGCTGTAGGATCCGTGTTTTTTGTTCTTTGTTTTCCCATCAGGCCTCATTGCAAGTGCAGCGTTTGGTGCCCTCACACATTTTACCAGAATGGCTTCACACACGCTCTACGTGTAAATGCCATTGTCTGGATCTGTTGAGATAAGGAAAGGGACAGAAGTTGAGGAAACTGCTCAAGGCACATTTAACTGTTCAGCGAGGAATTTTTGTGCACCTGCTGCACGCCAGGGACCGTTAAAGGCCATGGGGATACAGAAGTGGACAGTATACACCACACAAAGTCTCTGCCCTCCACAAGCACACATTCTCACAGGGGACACAAGAGAACAAGCAAGTTAATACTACAGTTGCAAATGGCGTTAAGTACTTCCACACAGCTAGAAACTGATGGAGACCGAACTGGGACCCCGGTCTGAGACACAGGGTTTGTGAAGCAGGAAGGAAGCAAGCGGTGAGAAGTGGACTAGAGCAGGCCCAGAAGGCATGGCAGGCAAGTGGGAAGACGCCATGCTAAGAGGACATACGAGGTGGGCACCTGGGCGTTGATTTCAAGCAGGAATGGCAAACATTTTCTGTCAAGAGCCAGATATTAAATATGCTCAGCTTTGAATGCAGAATGAGACAATGCAGAAGCTATGTTCCAGTATAACCTCATCCATGGACACTGAGGTTTAGATTTCGCACACACCCTACTCATACGTCACAAAATACTATTCTCCGTTGGATTATTCTTTTAAAAAAACTTGAAAATATAAAAACCATTCTTGGGTTATGGTCCCGACAAATACAAGCAGCTGTCCATAGTCGTCAACCCCGGGGTCAGAGGGAGAAGTTGGTTGAGATGGAGCTCATCCTCACTCTTAGAGGAGAACACAGGTGGAATCAAGTAGTCAAAATGCATAATAATACGTGCCTTTCACAACTATGTGTGCCTGTTCTCAGGTTGCCTACTTAGCCATCTTTGTTTACCTTAAACCTCATTTCAAGATCCTTTACCAAAGCACAATATCTGCTGAGAACAATGGCCCCAAGGTACAAAAGGAGCGAGGGACAGAATTTCTTAAAGCAATTTAAACATTAACCAGAATAAGAAATACCTCTTGAATGCCAACACTGTAGGGATGGCCCCTCGCCGGGTCTAGGAGTCATACGTTTCGTCAGTTGGGTAACTGGATGTCAGTTAGCACTGGGTGTCAGACATCTATTTTGGTCAGGTCTGCCTGCCCATCACAAACCTGCCCGCTAAACACAAACCCATCGTGGGGGTTGGGAGGGGGAACATCATCCCTTCCACCCCCAGACCCAAATCTGGTGGGTGCCCCCACTCCTTCCCAGTCCTGGTCTAACTTTCTTTCTCAATCCGCCCACGCCAGGCGATGAATCCAGCGGCTCGGGGAGTGGCAGTGGGTGCATGGATGATGTGTGTCCCACGGAGTTTGAGTTCGTCACCACAGAGGCCCCCGCGGTGGACCCCGACCGGAGAGAGGTGGACTCTTCGGCAGCCCAGCCCGGCCACTCCCTGCTCTCAGGATCTCTGGTCTGCATCGTCCTGGCACTGCAGAGACTGTGCAGATAATCCTGGGTTTTTGGTCAGATGAAACTGCATTTTAGCTATCTGAATGGCCAACTCACTTCTTTTCTTACACTCTTGGACAATGGACCATGCCACAAAAACTTACCCGTTTTCTATGAGAAGAGACAGTACTGCACTCTGCCTCCCTTTCTGTTTGCCCAAAGAGTACTGGGTGCCACACTGGACTGCTTCCTCTTTCCTTCAGCTCTCTATGGGGACCTTGTTTATTCTAGAGAATTCTTAACTCAAATCTTTCATACCAGGAGATTTTCTTACCTTCATTTGCTTTTATGCTGCAGAAGTAAAGGAATCTCACGTTGTGAGGTTTTTTTTTTCCTGTTTAAAAAAAAAAAAGGCAGGAAGAAAATAATTTCCCTTGTAAAATCAGGCCAAACCCCCAAGACAACTGCACTTTCTACAAAGGAGCCAATAAGAGAGAAAAATAAAAAAACTTTAACACTGTAAGTTCAGCATTGCCAGCCGACTCCCAGTATAAGCTTTTCTCTGATAAATCGGGTTTACAAAATGCTTTCGGGGAGAAAGTTTGAGATTTTTTTTTAACGTGGTGAAAATACAGTGTTGTCTTGGAGGTATTGTCTTGCACTCTATCCACACAATACCAAATTGAATTGGGGGTACTGATACTAAATTTAGAACTCCATCGTTAACATGAGAGTAAAATTGCCATGACCCAGCACCTCTCTCTCACCTTGCCCAATTTCAGTTTCAATGATGGCACCATTTTCCTTAATTCTCTTAATGTCTGTCCCCTATATCCAATTGGCACAGATTTTTCTCTTCATCTCCAGCTACTAGTGGACACTCCCATCAATTCATCCTCCTTAAGGGTCTGAATTGAAAATAATCTTCTGTGATACAGTGGCTTTGCTTTAGCCACAGGTTGGACGTTAATTTGACATTTCTGCCCCTGTGCTCATTACCGTCCCAAAATAAGAGTTCTTTTAATGAACTCATAAGCAATTTGATCCATAAGTGAGTTTTCATGTTTAACAGTTTGCTTTGTGTCAGTTGGTTTCTGCATCACAAGGGCATTCTCTTACAAAATAACTCACAACAAAAACCATCAAGACAAAAATATATATATATATATATATATAGTATTGACATGGAGATTTCTTTCACTTTTTTAGTCTTAGTATGATCATCTATTTTTATATCTCTATATATATATAAATCACAGATTTTAACTTCTTAATTCCAAGCTCAGGGTTGACACACCTTTGTAACGAAAATGTTTTGTCAACCACCTCTTCTTGTTTTGTGCTGCTCAGAGAAGGGATTCCTCAACGATCTGTGAGCACCAAGAATCAAGAAAGAGAACTTTTTACGTATCTAATTGTCCGTTTCTTAAAAGTTTGCCAGGGCACACCCTTTTTTGCATGAGCGTGCTTTGTCCTGGGTGCTCCAGATGGTACCGGGCTCACGGGGGGAACCATGGGTGTGCAGGACTGTCCTGGTGATGGAAACTGTAGAATGGTGTATACACGCAAAACCATTGCTTCCATGTACGCCTTCAGCCTAGGATTCCCGCTTGGCACTTGGACTTGGACATAGGACCTAACTCAAGAGGCCACTTTAGAGCCACAAGCCTAACTGACCCTCCAAGTGTACCAAAGCCAGGCCCTTATGCTCCCCTTGGTAGAGAGAAGCAAAATAAACCAAACTGGGGCTTTATTCATATAGTTGGCTCTCCATGTGTTTCTTGGTTTTGATGATGATCTGGGGTTGGGAAAAGTAATGTTTCAAGACACCACCGTATGCCAGTCACATTTTATTTAACCCATTGGCAGAAATGGCATGTAAATGGTATTTTTTTATCTTTGCTCTCATCAAAATTATAATTAGTTATTGATTTAGTCGTCACATTTAAGTAGAACACATGCGGCACAATAGTATTAAGTATATTTGAGCACTTTTGCAAAACTGCAAAGTATTTAGAAGCATCTATTGCTATTTTATGCCTAGAGAAATATAAAAAGTAGGATTCTATGAGACTTTGTGGCATCTTTTCATTTAAATCTTTATGAAATTAACACCTAATCTAATTCAGCATTGCATACTTCTAGAAAACCATCCATTTCACTGCCAAACTTCGGCTTCCTATCACCAATTACACAGAAAACATCTCTATGAAGGACCAATCATTTACATTGCCCATTTCATTGTATGTTCAGAAATCAGTATGGTCTTTTTCCAATAATTAAGGTGCAATACCAATTAAATCAATTTTGATTTTCCAGAATATTTGAGTAATAACTTGTTTTTATGGCTTTAAACTCCAAGTCTTTCCTTTTTTCAATATTTCTGCATTGTCTTCTGTGAAGTAGAGCAGAATGCCTTGTTTCCTCTGTGCTTTCACCCCCAAAAGGCTTTGTGCATGTGTATGAATACACGTTATATTAATGAATGTGAACCCATGCTCCGTATACACTAAACACACAGATAATATGTAAACGCCTGCTTCATTTGTTTCAACACCTTCACGATTGATATTATTCATATTGGTGAGATAACAGTGATCCATACGAGCCAGGCAGAGAGCTGAAATGACTATCAGTTAATGATGCCACAACATTCATCCCCTGCATGGATGTGGTCAAAATATTATTCAAATCGCACTTCCTAGTTTTTATCATCATCCGACTGTGTTGTATGATTTTCAGACCAATGTAACATGAGACTTGTTTTCTGTCCTAAGGGAATTAGTTTAATCTAGTTATCCCATTTCAGTAAGTATTTCAGCATTCCTCCTCTCCCCCGCCCCCTGCCACGTTAATTTCTCTCGTCTAAACATAGCCATCGGGGATGAAAGGATGCTCCATTATTTCTCCCGATCTGCCCTCATTTGCTTTGATGTCCCCTAAATTCTCTAATCACATCACAACCTCTGTTAGGAGTAGGGAGGAATGGGCTCACTGAAATCAGACACTAGAAATTGTTGGGTGACGCTCATGACCGCAAACACTTAGCTTTATTGAAGTGCCTCTCTTTACATGTTCTTTAGTTATAATATGTATTTTTCTAACAGAAATACACGTCTGTAACTGGTGTATATTATACTTTGTATATGTTATAACAAAAGCTAAACAGAGGCTAAAGTCTTTAGCAGAGAAGAATGAATTGCAAATTCATGAATAAGAGCTCTGCTTATGGTTCTGTATCGAAGGGTAACCATGACAGCCTTCTGTCACCTTAATGAAGATCAAGTGGGTACTTTGATGACCGCCATCATAGAAAAACGTTACCACTAGCAATCGGACTCCCTTACGGTGATTTACCCAGAGAAGTAACTGGTATTACCTACTTTCATTGTAAGGGATAGGAAATATTACTTTGTCTACACTGAAAAACACTATTAAGTAGTAATTGTAAAAGTAACATTCTGTAAATCAAACACATTGAAAATATTACTGGACACAGAACCCTGATATTTAATTTATATTCCCTGCTGCAGACATTAGCCTACTTTAATGCTTTAGCCATTACATACATGTTTTGGCTACACACTGAACACCAACTAAAGTCCCCAAGGAGGAATAGAAACTTAGCAAATTCCTGAGTTGTGAACTCTTTTATGGCTTCTCTCCGCAAGGCTAATTATCAGGTGGTTTGATTACAGGTGGAAGTGTTAGCAAATGTAAGTTTTGACTTATCCAAAACTTGCAGAAATACCAACTCATTTTTATTTACTTACAGTCACTAATAGACCTGACTTTTAACTTAAAAGAGGGTGTGTGTGGGAAGTGGGGGGGAGCAGTTTAGCTTTGCCAAGAGAAGAGTAAAGGAGACCATAACTTATACATTTGCAACGTGTTTCTCCTTGGTGGAGACATTAGCCAGTGTTTAGTTTCAGGCCAAGTTATACAAATAGAGTATTGATTTGTATGCATTCTGGAGCCTTGCTGCATCACGGTTTGCTATGGCGTGGGACTCAGCCTAGCCTGGGGCTATTTGAACCTCATTCAGAGTTGAGTAGTTACTCGAATCTTTGACATTGCCTTGTAATGAGGTACTTCCATGAGAAGACCCCTGACGATGGATAACGGTGAGGTCTCTGTGTGCATATGCATAATATATATGCAGGACAAATGTGTGCACCAATCAAACCTAAAATTTTATGTGACTGTCAAATGAGTATTACTTGGGTTAAGATTTTTCATTTCTGATTTGGATAGAAAATTGCTATTAATCTTGTATTAAAATAGTTTTTAAAAATCTACCAGTGCCCTTTCTGCATTTTCTTAATTATTGTCATGGTCTACATTTCAGAGTTTTTGAAGTTCTCTTTGTTTGAGACCTTTTTAGAAACTGCAGTATTAAAAGAGAGAAAAAGAACCATAGATTAAATCAGCACCACTCATCTAAATATCCTTGGCTTTTGAAATCATGAACTTTTAGAACTTTGGAACATTTGAGACCTTTCCAAATGTGTCTGGAAGATTCTCTCCTTTTGTATTGGTTTCTTCTTTAAGATAAAATTTAGTGGCTTGAGAACTGATGTCAATACTTTAGCAATGAGGTAAGAAAATTAAGATAATATGTGAAAAGACTAACCATTTCCAAATTCAGCAAATTGCATTGATTTTTCTATTTCTGAAAGTTTCCATGCTATCAGGAATGCTAAATATTGTATGACATGCTAAAGATTCATTTAACAGATATTTATTAAACTCCTACTCTGTGCTGAACCTGCTCGAGGTGCTGATCACTGGTTATCAAAACCACCAGTTGGAAATTATTCATTCTCTATACAATTAACCATGATTACTACAAATACATCACTTATTTCAAGCATGCTCTTTTAAATAAAGGAAACCATATAAATAAAGTTATCAAGACTACAATGTTAAACCGTAAGCAATATTTTAATTTAGTTCATATTATTACTATTTTGGTTTCTAATGAGAAAAGTGATTTCTACAAAAGAATTAAGAAACTTAAGGATAATTCCATATATAAAGCCAGAATATAACAAATTTTATTTGGAATTCAACTGAACCCAATTTGATGGAAAGGAAAAACATAGAAATGGTCTTGGGAAAAAAAAATAATAAAACCACCACAGAGCCTTTTATCAGGTAACAACAATATTTATTTTAATTTGCTCTTTGGATAAATATACTCACAAATATGAAAGATGGCATTAATTTTTAAAATACCAACTTGCAAAGTAGTGACAATTAGACACGGATTACTGTTTTTGGCTCAAGAGCTAGAAAGATGTACCCACAAGTTTGTCTCTTCAAACAGACATTCACAATTCATTTAGTGTGGGTGCATTTCCATTCCATAGACATATTTATTTGTTTATGTAAACACGTGGCCAAACATATTTTGTTGGCTCATAAATGGGGCACACAGCAAAGCCGGGAGGAAATAGATGTCTGCCTTTATAGCTTGCTTAAGGAGTTCATTCTCTTTCACACCTCGAAACGTAAAGTAGAGCAAGAAAATGGAAATTTTACCCTGTTAGTGCTCACATTCGGAGAGAAGCAGAAAGACGAACAAACTGATTTAAGACAAGTGTTAGAGTATTTACCCTAGATAAAACATCTGCTCTTCAATAGGAAAGAGCATCTGTGGATTTTAAAAATAAAGGGAAAATTTGACTTAGGCAATAATAGTCATCCATTCTTTCAAAAGATGTGTAATGAGCAATGTAATGAACAATAGTTCTGGGGGTCGGACCAAGGCATCAAGATTTCTGCTCTCAGACAACTTACATCCTAGTAGGGAAGAGACAGACAACTCACAAGTAAATAATAAACAAGATGACATCAGAAAGGAGAGGGGCCATGACGGAACTAGCACAGGAAATGGGATAGTGACTAAGGAGAAGACTCTCCAGGAGAGGCTCCCCAGGGGATACTCGAGCTGTGATCTCATGACAGGAGGGAGACAGCCATGTGCAGACCTGGGTTCAAAGAGTTCCAGGCAGAGAACAAGCAAATACAAAGATCTCTGTCCAGGAATGATCTTTGGGTACTCCTAAGTGGCTGGGGACTAGTAAGTGAGCTGCCGGGTGGTGGCAGATGGGTGAAGAGCTAAATGGCAGCCATATTAGGCAGAATGGCCAAAGTCATGATCCTTTGCCACCCGGTAAAGCCAGAGCCGTAAAAGGATCCGTCCCTATAGCAGCAGCCCTGCTGGTGGCCCTTAGGAGTATTTTAAGGCACCTTTTAGCAAGGAACTAAACTGTTACAAGATCTTGTGACGTCTATGACATTGAAGATCCAGCCAAATCTAAGATCTTTATGTACTTGATCTTTATAGGATTTCTGTGATGTAGGAATAATAATGCCCATTTTATACCAAATAAAATGAATCACAGTGAGCTTAATTAACTTGCCTAGTCACCTAGGTGAGGCCAAAGGAAGCGAGATCTATAATAACTAGGCAGAAAAGTGGCAGTATGTAAGGATAATTTGGGTGTTTTATTGTAAGTACAAGAAAATTATCCAAGGGTGTTCTGAGACTTGGCAACGAGTATGGGAACAGGAATCCATAGACGTTTACTTGCACAGTAATATTAAAATTTTATTCTGAGATGAAGTGCCATTTGGTGGCATTCCGTTTTTATTTTGTTTTGTTTTGTTTCAAAATTAAAATCCAAATAAACTACTGATTCCAGGTTCTTGCATAGTTTTGAACTTAAGGCCAGTGTGAACCAGAGTTTGATGCCTAGAGAGGAACATGTGTATCAAATCTGCTTTCCCTTTGTTTGTCAATTTGGCTTACACATCATAGTCACAGAGAGCATATCATCCACATCCAATTCCCAGGGATTCCTCCCATGCATTAGCTTTGTCTATCCCTTATTTATCCATTCAGGTGGTCAAGTGGACTGTAAACGTAAATCAAAACAATCCAACAAGTAGTCAGTTCAAACAGACAACTAGTTGGGCTGCTTTGTTGACTAAACTGTTACAAGATCTTGTGACGTCTATGACATTGAAGATCCAGCCAAATCTAAGTCCTGGTGATCATTTTCACAGTTAAAATAAAGACCAAAGTGCAGGGCACCCTTGTGCCTTTCTTCCTCATGGAGTTGACACTCCTTTTATTGTTAGATCCCACCTCATGTCACTGCCCTCCTTCCCTGAGAGAACTGGGCTTATTGATGACAGATTTTTATCCCTCTTAAAAAGGTACTCTTTAGACATCTCATAAAGCTAAGTGAATGTCAAATCAAAGAAAAGTTTGTCTACAAAACTCTGTTTCTCTTTTGAGATATAAAATGCCTTATTCTTACATAAAGCATTTGACCCCAAAGGCAGCTTTAAACTCATTTTAAATATTTCATAATCTTTTCCACGCCTCCATGAAGTAGGCAGGAATTACTACCCTTATTTTACAGCTCAGAGAAGCTACCATGGTCTTATCAATATGTCTACTCTCTCCCTTTTTTCTTTTGCGTTGTCTTACACCGAGTCCACCCAAATCTTAAAGGATCTGATGGAAATCATTTGGGCTTTTATCAGCCTCTTGCTAATTTACACAACCAGCCCAGTAGTTCAGCCACAGGTGAGCTATTCTATGCCAAATATAAGCCCAGATTCTATACATTCATTTGTTTTTGAGCTTGAGGGCCTCTCCTTTCTTTTTTAATGTAAAAGAGAAAATTTTATATTAAATATTATGTCCATAGACAGAGAGCATGAGCCATGAGAAATGTGCAAGCAAAATGATTTCTCTAGGAAGGAAATAAAGACTTTCCTTACATCTGAAATGTTTCTTCCTTTGAAGCAATCCTATGATCTTTCCCCTCCTTGTACCTCATGAGCAGGGAGGGTGATGTAGCTTGCACGGAGGAGGTAAAATGAAGAAAGAGAAAAGACTAGAAATCCAGTGCCATTTGAAACACATGATGCTTCCTACATTTATCTGACCATTCCTGAACCTTCACTGTGAGTGTCCTTAAAAAGAAATACCAGAGAAAGGCCAACAAGCTATGAAAAGGTGCTCAACATCACTAATCAACAGGGAAATGAAAATCAAAAACACAATGAACTATCACCTCACACCCCCCAGAAAAAGGGGGGACAATAACAACATTGGTGAGGATTCAGGGAAGTTGGGACCCTTGTGCACTGTTGGTGGGAATGGAAAATGGTACAGCACCATGGAAAACGCTATGGAAGAGTGTGTTTTTTTCCTTAAAAAATCTAAACATAGAGGGCGCCTGGGTGGCTCAGTTGGTTAAGCGACTGCCTTCGGCTCAGGTCATGATCCTGGAGTCCCTGGATCGAGTCCCGCATCG